AACTGAGACACAGGAGCAGATTTGGGTTTTGAGCATGTTGAATTTGAGATATTTATGTTACATTTAGGAAATGTTCAGGAGGTATCTGAAAATAGTAGGAGCAGGGAAAACAGATCTGAGTGTCACTCGTATATGATATATAGGTGATACTGCAAATGATGGAAGTTGCTATAACCACGTGTAGACTGAGAAGAGAAGACGTAGAAAATAGTTGCACGAGTGGCTGGTGGGTAGGGAACAGGAAGAGAAATGAAAACTCAGAGCAGTTGACTTTCTTCCTCTTTAGTAGGGTGTAATGGCCTGGAAAGAAATTTAGGGGAACAGATGTTATTTTTTTAAAGGATCATTTGTATGTGTATTTCTCTTAAAAACAGGATTACTATATATATTTAAGAATGAACAAACTATTACTATATTTTCATATATTATTGATTCTTGGCCTTTGCCATTCTAAATGGTTTCTATTATTTGTATAATCGAAGATTTTTAATGTGAACCTGGCTGCAATATCTAATTATTGCAATTTATGTTTATTGAAATCAAACAATTCATTATTTCTTTCAAGGACAAGAACATAATATATTTTTGCCTCTGGGGAGGGGGGAATGATCATTTTCATAAGAGAAGGAAGGATTCAGTGCTTTCTTTGCTTGTGGGTTTCCTCTTGTTCACTTTTGATCTAGATATTGGTGGTTATGTTCCAGTCCTCCTGCATATGCCCAAGAGGATTGGGAGTGGAGTGGACACCAGCAGAAGCACCATTTTTTCCTGTAGAGATTAGAAACAAGGAGCTTATTGCCCTGCTTGTCAAGGCTCAGGACAGAGAGGAGGAAGAAACAAGTATAAAGGTTTTGGTTTTGGAAAGAAGTTGGAATCTCCTGACCCTGGGACCTTAAGATCCACAAAATTGCTGAAAGAAAAAGTACTACCTTATTGAAAGGTAAGATATTACACTGTTTTAAGGTTTAAGCTATTTTAGCCACATTAGCGTATCTTCATAAGCTATGAAATCAAGCAGTCATTTCTGCCAAGCCCAAGTTTTTGTGGCCTAATCACCCGTCTCGCCTTCCTGCTGAGATGGAGACCTGTGTGGCTGGAGAGATGTCTAGAGTGAGGGAGAGCCTTTACAAAATTTCATTCAGTTTTGAAATGATGTTTATTGAATGCCAGGCACTGTGCTAGGCCTTGGATATACAGAGGTTAAGGAATCACCCTACCTGCCTTCTAGAAGTTCTCATTCAAGGAAAAGAAAAAAACTGATGATGACAATGTGATAAGTGCTATAATAAATAGGTAATAAGTGTAATAAGAGTGGTCTAAATCTGTCTACTAATGTTTATGTTCTAAAGGATTAATAGGAGCGCATGAGGTTGGAAGAAAGGCACGGGCATTTGAGTTAAAGTGAATTATCTGTTCAGTCATAGATATAAAAGAGCATGCTGTACTTGAAGAACACACCAAATTCCAGAAATTGCTATCTGAATGTTTGCTATGGGCAAAAGAAGGGAGAGTGATAAGATGTTTCTTAAGTAGGTAAGTTTGGGTCAGTTATGGAGGCCTTGTTGCATGACAAGGAAAATTGAACTTACCTTACTAGACACTGGGAAGCATTGGACAGAACAAACAAAAAAACTGTGAGGCTACTTTAGTCCCAAGATGGGTAGGAAAAAAAATAAATATATGGTATTAAAAATAAAAATATGTAAGAATGTACATGAAACTCTCTAATTGGGTCCCAGTCTGTCTTTTCTTTTCTGCTAACATTCCTGGTATCCTGTGTTCTTATTAGGTTGATTCTAAACTTAGTAGGCTACTGAAGAGTAGGACTTTGACTTAGATTGTTGAGAATCCCTAACTCTTCAATTTGTGCCAACCTTGAACAACCTTGTAAAGTGTATTATGCATGCCTCAGCCTAAAATCCATTTTCTTCATTCTGGAGAGAAAGCTTTAAACACATTAAAGAAAGAAGACTGTGTCTGAATAAACGCTGTAACAAGGAGATCGCAGACCTTCTTGTCTCTAATCATGACCAAAACAGGGTCATGAAATTATGGTGGCCCCAAGGAAAAGAAAACCATTCTAAGAGAAGTCAGACTTGACCCTGAAACCTTTTACAGGGATGAGGTAGTTTGAGGACTCATTATAGAGGGCCCTGAATAGACCCTACAGGCTTCTGGTTACAGTAGAGAGGCTAGACATAAGGTATAAATTTTGGAGTTGCTGGTACTGGAGCATTAGCTGACCATCCTGTTAAATGAAGCTCTGTCACAAATCTAGGGACCAGTGAGAAGATGGTGACTCTGGGGGAAGATATGGGTGAAAAGCTTGAAGAAGGATATCTGCATTCTGTGGACTGTGACCTTCAGTAAGATAAGAGAACAAAGGAGAGGACAGCCACTAGACGCATGACATTCACAGAGCAGATTTCAGTGACACTCACAGATCTTGCTGTATACTTCAACCAGGAGGAGTACAGACAGTCAGAATGGGCAATGGACTGTGCAGAGATAGTGATGCTGGAGGACTGTAGGAATCTCATCTCAGGGGGAGCAGTTAGTTTCAAAACTACTTGTAATCTAGTTGGAGCAAGGAGAAGAATCGTGTTTGAAGAAATACATTTCAAAAAGCATCTGCCAAGACTGGGAGGCTGAGTATAAAAGGCAACGAATTCAGGCCAGAAGCAGAGCATATTTATAAAATTAGCCAAAAGGGCAAAAAAATGGAGGGAGAATGGAAAAATTCTCAAAGGATGTCTTGAAGTACTCAGAATGAAATACATCAAGGGACATAGGCTTTAGTCTTCAGAGCTATCTGTATGACCTGTAACATTTTACCCTCTTTCGGTTAGAAACTCTAGAATATGATGATGGCTTATAGGAGGAATGGATTGACAGTTGAGGCGTGTGGCACACAGCTTGCGGGATCTCAGTTCCCCTACCAGGGATTGAACCCAGGCCACAGCAGTGAAAGGCTGGAATCCTAACCAGTAGGCCACCAGGGAACTCCCGAGAAAGTCTTTTCTAATGGAAGAGAACATACAAGGAGTGAATTTGAAAATAATATCAGCCTGAGCTCAGCTTTCCTTATATAATAGATGATTCGCATATTGGCCCTCCATACAGTGCCATGGAATAGACTTTAAATATATTTACATCTAATTATACTAGATACTACTTCATCTAGCTTCAAATTCTAGTCAGAGGTAAAAAATATTTTGAATGTAATGAGCGTAAGAACTGTTACTGAGGGCTTCCCTGGTGGCGCAGTGGTTAAGAATCCGCCTGCCAATGCAGGGGACACGGGTTCGAGCCCTGGTCCGGGAAGATCCCACATGCCGTGGAGCAGCTAAGCCTGTGCGCCACAACTACTGAGCCTGTGAGCCACAACTACCGAAGCTCACATGCCACAACTACTGAAGCCCGCGCACCGAGAGCCCACGCTCTGCAACAAGAGAAGCCACCGCGATGAGAAGCCTGCGCACTGCAATGAAGAGTAGCCCCTGCTCGCCGTAACTAGAGAAAGCCCGCTCACCATAACTAGAGAAAGCCTGCGCGCAGCAACAAAGACCCAACGAAGCCAAAAATAAAATTAAATTAAAAATAAATAAATTTATTTTTTAAAAAAAAGAACTGTTACTGAGAATGTGCTCATTCAAATTCAGAATTCTTAATAGAAAATATATAATGATATTAATGGGTACAGGAAAGATTTATCATTAGCAAACTTCTTATTTTAAATCTAAGAAACAGCATATTGGAGGACTCGGGAGGAGGCCCTGAACAGACCCCAGCGCCTCTGTGGTAACAAAGCACTAAGTGCAGATTTTGAAATGTTGAGCTAATAATCTGCAACTTTATGTATGTTGAATAATTAATTTATCATAGAAAGAAGTCATCTAGGTTAAAGAAAGATTTTTTTCCATAATGGTTTATGTTGTATTCACTTATAGAGAGTAAAGAATTTGCTGTAGTTTTAGTCTTTAACATTTTTTTGGAAACAAGACAAGCTGAAAAATAGGTTTCCTGTGGGCTTAAAAAAAAAAAAGCAAATCATAACCTAGTTTGGTAGCTTTTCAACCTATGTAGCTCAGTAAAAGATTACCTTTTAGTAACTGGTTAAAATTAGAGAAGGTTTTAAGAAATGCTTTATTTGTGACCATTTGAGCAGCATTTCAGAATGCTATAATTTTTTCAACATGTTTGCATGATTAAGAAAGAGCTATATATTACCTTATTTATGAACTGGGCTGTGAAAATGTGTTATAATAGTGAATACTACATATTTTTAACCTGTTTTTGTATACTGTATGTCATCTGATATACAAAATAACCCTGTAAAATTAGTAGGGCAGCTATTAATATCTCTAATTTACAAGTGAAGAAGAGCGAGGCTCAGAGAGGCTAAAATTTTTGCCTGATATCACAAAGCTAGACTTTGACCATTATACTGCATCGATGTCTCAATGTTTCCTTGGGATGAGCATAATTCAGTTTTGAGGGCATAGACTGGTTTTGTCTACTTTTTTGTTGTTTTAATCATTGCTTTCAAAAGAAAACCTTCTATACAAGGTTGGGAAATGATTGTGAATATATACAACAGAGATAAACATTCTTTTTTTTCTATCAACAGTTACTGAGAGTAGGTGTCAACATGCTCTTAAATTATAAGAACACGGCGACATCCTTATTAGCACCACAGCACTGGCTAAAAAGGCATGGTTCATTGCTACTGAAGTGTTTTTATTTTTTCCAGGAGGACTAATACTCCTCAAGAATTTGAAGAAATTTTTTTATTATGCTTTATACCTAGTATTAAAGTTCTGGAAACAAATTTGTGTGTCCCTTTGAGGAATTATGGGAAATTTTTTGATTTTAACAGTTTGTTCTTTTATTCAGATTGATTACATAATTACAAAATTCTAGATTTGACTTTAACAGATTATTAACTAAGACCATTTTATGAGCTGTCCTATGAAACTGGATATCTTGTTATTTTACAGGATGAAGAAACTCGAAAAGATTATGATTACATGCTGGATCACCCAGAAGAGTACTACAGCCATTACTACCACTACTACAGCAGGCGCTTAGCCCCTAAAGTGGATGTGAGAGTTGTGATCTTGGTCAGTGTGTGTGCTATTTCAGTGTTTCAGGTGTGTATTGATGGATGTGTGTATCTATGTGCATGTGCAGGAGTGCACATTGGCTAGTGCTAGTCGTTAAAACTGAACTAGAAGTACCTTTTTGTAGAATTTTACTTCCAGGTGAGATTAATGTTTTATATTAGAAAAATATTTATTTAACCAATTGATAACATTGGAATCTTTGTTGGCAGGCAATCTAAGAAATCATGAATGTCATTATATAACTGTCAAAACCAAACAAACAAAAAAGTCAGGTATTTTTCTCTTTTCCCCCTCTAGAGTATTTTCCATATAACAGCCAGAGTGAATGCCAACTAGACCATATCATTTACAGGTAACCCTTGAACAACATGGGTTGGAACTGCAGTGGTCCACTTACACACGGATTCTTTTCACTAACTGCAGTGCCGACCCGCAGCAGTGCACCTTCTGAGGTTGGCTGAATCGGAGGATAGGGAGGAGCCGTGCATACGGACAGCCAACCATACGCTGCACTCAGACTCTGAACAGGGTGGTGCCCCCCCCCGCATTGTTCGAGGACCAAACTACCTTCATAGGACTTTTCAATGATTTCCCATTAAACTTGGGGAAAATTCCAAACTCCTTAATATGGCCTAACAAGTCCTGGCACCTACCCACCAAATGCCAGGAGTGTAGAGCTTGCCATCACTGTAACAAACAAAAATGTCTCACACATTTCCACATGACGGCTAAGGGCACTCCTGCTCAGTATGAGAACCACTGAAATAGACTAAAAGTGCTACAGTAACTTTTTATGTTGTTTTAAAATATCACAGAAATACAAGTTTAGCCTGAAATGAGTTTTCCCTACTATTATTCCTCAACTAACCACACCTATCATATCCTCCTCTAGAAGAAAAAAGAAAGTCAAGTGACTAGAATGAAGCAATTTACTAGTTTCAGAATTACTTCTCCAGTTTAATTCCCAGAAATGAAATTCAATCGATATGACAAAAGAATTCCTACTGAAAACTAAAGCTGTATATATATATATATATATTTTTTTTTATTTTTTTTTTTTTTTATTTTTTGGCCGTACATGGGCCTCTCACCGCTGTGGCCTCTCCCGCTGCGGAGCACAGGCTCCGGACGCGCAGGCCCAACGGCCACGGCTCACGGGCCCAGCCGCTCCGCGGCACATGGGATCCTCCCGGACCGGGGCATGAACCCGTGCTCCCCGCATCGGCAGGTGGACTCTCAACCACTGCACCACCAGGGAAGCCCTAAAGCTGTATATTTTAAACATATCAGCTTTTGTAGTGTTGCCTTTTCAACAGGGAGAGGAAGGGCAACTTTACTTTTCTGTTTTAGATAATGTAATACCCTCATCACTTTTTTTTTTTTGCTATTCCTAATAGATTGCTACTATAATATTTCAGGATATTATTGGTACAACTGCTGTATTTATTCAGTAAAATAGCTGAAATGTGTGGAGGTACTATATGAAGAGTAGGACTTTTTCTGATAATAAAACCCTTTGTGGTTGAATATATTTATGAAGTGACTTAATGTCTTCCTGTCCAAATAAGTAAAGAGTTCAAACATATTTGAATCTTTCAGTTCAGAATGTGACGAGCGTTATTGTGGTATGTGCAGATGGTTTAGAGTTGCCCGAGTCTATACCCAGGGATTTTTTGAAAGAAACTCCTCACCAGCTAGTTTTACCATTCGATTCTTCCTCCAGTAAGTAGACTGCAACCTTAAAAAAAAAATAGATGAAAAGGGATTTCTTAATTGTGATCTAGGGAAGAGTCAAATGGTAAAGATGTGAAATGAACAGGTGTGATGTGATTCCACCGATCCATCCTCTGATCCTGGGTGTCTCCTGTGGAGAATCAGTGGCTTTTTGGCTCAGCTCAGGGCTTATCTGACTTATCAGGCCTGGAGATCCCGTGTCCACATGGGCATTATTCAACTGTATCTTCAACTTACAGAGTAAGATTTTTGAGGTCCCTGTTTTTAATCAGAATAGGTTTTGGCGGCCGGGGGGGGGGTTGTGTTCACCAAGATGAATTTTGTAATAAAAATTACCCAGTTTTTTTTGTTAAATATTCTAGTTTTTCAGCTGGTGGAACAGCTACAACAAGGCAATCAGCTACCTGGCCACGGTGCCCAAGTACCGTATCCAAGCCATGGAGATTGCCAAGCAGCAGGGATTGCTGAGAAAAGCCAAAGAGAAGGGCAGAAACAAAAAGTCCAAAGAGGAAATTCGCGACGAGGAGGAGAACATCATAAAGAACATTATAAAAAGTAAAATAGATATAAAGGGAGGCTATCAGAAACCCCAGTTCCGTGACCTTCTCCTGTTTCAAATTCTCTTAGCTCCCTTTCACCTGTGCTCATATATAGTCTGGTATTGCCGGTGGATCTATAATTTTAACATCAAAGGCAAAGAATATGGGGAAGAAGAAAGACTATATATCATACGTAAATCTATGAAGATGTCAAAGTCTCAGTTTGATAGTCTAGAAGATCATCAGAAAGAAACTTTTCTTAAACGGGAGCTTTGGATAAAGGAGAATTATGAGGTGAGTAATTACTGTAACCTTCCTTACCAACTTAAAACTAGGTATGTGACAGGGGATCACAGAAGTGTGCTCAAATTTCTGAAATCGAAGAGTTAAATATAGAAAGATCTTACTTTTGTTGACTGTATGACTATATTTAGTAGTGGAACAGTGGGTTTTTAACCTATAATTTGTCTTTTTAAAAGATGAACTTCAGGGCTTCCCTGGTGGCGCAGTGGTTGAGAGTCCGCCTGCCGATGCAGGGGACCACGGGTTCGTGCCCCGGTCCGGGAAGATCCCACACGCCGCGGAGCGGCTGGGCCCGTGAGCCATGGCCGCTGGGCCTGCGCGTCCGGAGCCTGTGCTCCGCAACGGGAGAGGCCACGGCAGTGAGAGGCCCGCGTACCACACACACACACACAAAAACAAAAGATGAACTTCAAATACTTTAATTTACTAATGCTAAAAATTTACAGTATGGTCTAATTTGTTGGGTTAAACTGTACTATGAATTGCCAGAATGATTTGGCAAGTAGATATATTCAGCCTACTTATAAAGAACATAAAAATGGAAGGTAACATGGTAGCTCCTAAATTATTTGATAAGTTTTCACTTTTAAGTAGTTGAAGCTGCCCACTATACAGTAAACTCTGTCTGTCATAGAGTGCTATCCTGGGCTGAATTATCACGGCATTACATGAGGTTATCTTAGTTGTTACTTCCTGAAATTTGGAAGTAAAATAATTTCTTTCTGAAATTTGATATGGCTGTGAAATTGGTTATGAAAACTTGTCCATTTAGCTTCAACTGATATACATGAAAGGTTATAGAAATGAAAGATGTTCTTTGTTCTTAACCTCTGTGGTTTATTTAACCTTCTTTGGGAACTTTAAAAATATTCTGAAAAACCAATAATTATCATTGAAGATAAAATTAGTTGTAAGTTCAATTTGGAGACAAATGTATTTATAAGGTCACTTTGTTCCTTGGTTAGGATCAACAAAACTGAAAGTCATCTGTTAAATTTACAGAGTACCATGTTAGAAAAATAAACTGTTGACTCTTTAATATTGGACATTAGTCGTAGAGAGGAAATGTTTAAACCCTTTAAACTCAGCTTATATATGATTTCAAGGAGGAAAAGAATGTATTTCCAGGTTACAGAAGTCAGTGAAAAAAATTACTAGTTCTTGCACAAGTTATTCTTTTTTATTTAACATTGAACATTAAAGTGCTTAATTGCTTAGTAATCTTAGGTGCATGGTCTTCAGAAGACAAACCAATACATTCATTGGAAGCTTTTACCTAAAGTTATATTTGAAAAATATAAACATGCCATAAAGCTAATGACAAATGTTTCTCTTTGGATTGTCAAGTTAGTTTATATTATTTATACTTACAGGTCTACAAACAGGAACAAGAAGAGGAACTAAAGAAAAGATTAGCAAATGATCCTAGATGGAAGAGATATAGGAGGTGGATGAAGAATGAAGGGCCTGGACGGTTAATGTTTGTGGATGACTGAAGATTGCTGGAATGCTACTATGCCAAACCTTAATTGTGATACTATTTTCATAACTGAATTATTTTAGAAATGTACTGACTGTTCCTCAGCAGTAACTAAAACTCAAGTATTTGATTAAACAGTATAATGTAGAAATTTAAACTTTCCCTTCAAACTTTATACATAAGACATTTATGATTGTTCAATTTTTATAATCAATTTGTGGATTTTGTTAAAAGATTTGACATGAAGATTTATTAGTTGCCATTTAAAAATTTTATATGTTTGGTTAAAAAATTTGACATGAAAATTTATTAGATACCATTTAAAAATTTTACGTGTTAAGTGTTTATTCTTCAAAAGTGTTTCCTTATTTTGTTATAGTGCTACACTTTTCTGCTTTCGTGGCCTCTATTAGTTTCACAAAACATAAAAATTATAACAGCGTTTAATTACATTTTTGAGTGTCTTTCTAGACACAGACTTCTTCAGCAAAATGATTCAACTATCATGTCATCTTTATGACAGTCATTATAGGTTTGATTTATGTTCAAAATATCTCTCTAGGAGAGTCTTCTGCTGGACTGTCTTTATAATATCTCCCCCCAGTCATAATATTCTTACTAAGATCAGAAACTCTCCAGGAGAGTGAATCTACTTTCATGTCCTTGTAGGATGATCTTGATTACAGTCATTATAGGACTATAACTGTATTCTCAAACACTGCTCCAGAAAGAACCTTGTAAGAAGGTCTTTTGTACCACAGTATTGTTTTACCCCCCTTCAATTAAAAAAAAAAAGAGCAGAAATAGTGTCATGAAAAGTTCATATATTATGAAGTCCTTGAGTGGTGAAAAATACATTTTATGTGAGCATATTTACATGCATATAAACCAGAAAGAAGGGGTGCATGGCTGTGTGCTGTTCTATCAAACAATGAAATGTAAATGCTTTATACGTGTGAAAGTGAAAGTAATTCACACATAATTTGACTGAATCAAGTATGATACTGCAGCAAAGTATCGAAACACATTCATGGTAGTGAATCAATACTCCTGTTAAAAGACATATCCCAGTCCATCATATTAATAAAACGGTTGCAATATATCACAAGTTTGTTGGTATGACATTTTAAGTCAAAGATTAACATATTGCTTTTGCATTATATAACTGTAAAAGACATAGCATAAAAGTGTAGCATAGTAGCTATGTAGAGTCTGTTTCTATTCAAAGTAAACTAGTCCTTTCAAGAGCTCAGCCCAAATATGTGACACATACAGAGATGCAGGAGGGGGAAGAGTTCCATCCTTGCTAATATAGCAAAAGGCCTGAGGTGGGTTATTTAGCCTGTGAGTGAAGGCCTCAATTCCTCATTAGAAAATTAGGGGAGGAGTTTGACCAGATTATCACTAAGGCCTTTTGCAGCTGAAGTTATATAATATTTATATTTTTGTAAACTTCAGATGAAAGTGTTTTATGCATTCATTCTTTTTTGGGAGGGTGGAGAAATTACAGTGCTAAATTGTAGGAAGCTGTGCTTCAAACCCCAAATGCCCAACTCTAAACCATAGGTAAATGCCTTTGAAAAGTGCTGTGGTTGCAGTCAGTAACCCCTGTCCCAGTGACGATGTTACCACACCCGTGCCACACAACAGCATTATCACCTAAGATTAGACGTGGGTACCATATGTTATGCAGACCAGAAAGAAATGGAGGCTCTTGCCCTTCTGTTAAAATTTCAAATAAATTTATGATTAACTGTATTTCAAAAAAACCTAGTGATAAGGAAAAATAGGAGGACTGAATATGTTAGCATTCATAAAGGTTGGCTGATAAAAACTATGTATCTTTGGATATTATTTTGCATATATGCTAGATTGCTGTATTTCTTTCTGTCTTTATATAGAAGTCTTATTTCTGGAATTGTTCCTGGCAGCCTGCTCACTTGGTAAAAGTTTGGTTGGTCTTTTGGAATCATGGTCACTGTATGGGTGAGATGCATGGACTCTCCTTAACGGAAGGACTATGATTCTTTTCTCCCCTTCCCTCAACAAAATGGCTTTATGCATCAAAATCCTGGAGGAAAGGAAGGGCAATTAGTTGTGTCACAAGTGTCGTTCACATATGTTGGGTATCTTTACTATCTCCATACTCTGCCAATCCCCCACCAAAGAACCAAAAGCTTCTCCATTTCAGAAACACTTGGAGAAGAATCCTGGGTAGGGGATCCCAGAACCCCACTATAGTTAGAAAATTTCTCTTGTGCTTCATTTTAGGGCTATCACCATTTCCTCCTTGCTTGGAATTCAGGGGTTTATAGAGCATAGCTGCTTATTGCTTTCTATTATCACTTCCTATAATTGAGGTCTGTGCTAAAATTACCCTTAGGGTTACTTACATTCATGTCAGATATCCTCACAGCAGTTTCTAAAACTGACCCTTCCCTCACTGGTCTTATTTCTTTATGAATTCTCCAAGTTCTACAAATCCCGGGTTGCAGTTTCATAACACATCTATCAAGTAGGGGCCATGAGTAGAATTTTAAACACTACAAGTGGTATACAGAAATTTAAAATGTTACATGAAAAAATAATTCAGTTTATAGAATTAACTATTTTAGTACTACTGAATTTATGTTTAGAAAAACAGTAGTTTTATTTGCTTTGAGATTTTTTTGGACTGAAATGGCAGGAAACTTTTAACACCCACACATTGCAAATATTTCCTTGAGTAGAAGCCAACTGCTAAGCTAACATGCAGCTAGTGTTATGGACCAGTGTGCCAGCCCCATACTGAAAGTTCTGTGGAAATTAAAGAGAAGTAGCTTTTATTAGACATTAGTATGAACAGGTCTAGCTACTTAAAGACTTTAAATCAGAGGTGGTCTCTGTTGAGTTATAATTGTGCAATTGAGGCAGATAAATGTTGGTATTGATACAAAATAGCTGTGTACAGATGAATTTCTTTTTCTTTTTCTTTTTTAGCTGCAGCATGCGGACTTCTTAGTTGTGACATGTGAACTCAGTTGCAGCATGCATATGGGATCTAGTTCCCCAGCCAGGAATCGAACCCAGACGCCCTGCATTGGGGGCATGGAGTCTTATCCACTGGACCACCAGGGAAGGCCCCGGATGAGTTATAATTAATTTTATTTACAAAGTGTGATACTCTTCACATTTAAATATGGGCTAAAGCCAAATCTAGCCCCTGATAACTAAATAAAATTTGCTAAACAAATTTAACCTTTCTGGTTTCCTCATCTGTGAAATGAGGGGATCTTTTTATTTTTTATTTTTATTTATTTATTTATTTTGCGGTACGCGGGCCTCTCACTGTTGTGGCCTCTCCTGTTGCGGAGCACAGGCTCCGGACGCGCAGGCTCAGCGGCCATGGCTCACAGGCCCAGATGCTCTGCGGCATGTGGGATCTTCCTGGACTGGGGCACGAACCCGTGTCCCCTGCATTGGCAGATGGACTCTCAACCACTGTGCCATCAGGGAAGCCCCAGGGGATCTTTTTAGATAATTAGGACTTAAAAATCTATAAGCCTGTGAATTTACATAGGTTTAGGGTCTGAAGGAGATTAGACTGCCTGCAACTGCGAAATGTTATGAGTATTTAAGTAAAAAGCCTATATGATTTGTCATAAACTTTAATCAGTTTCTTAACAGATTCAGAGTATCCTTGACAATTATGTATGGAGTGGATCACATAGTCTTACAGCAGTGACGTATGGGATTTCCTACAGACTCCTCCCCAGTTTCATTAGTGGATGAAGAAACTTCCTCCCATTTGACAGTGTCTCCTTTCATAACCTCAAGAAGAGGGAGCAGGATGCAGGGGAATGGCTCAGGCTTTGCAGCCGGTTAGACCAAAGTTTGGTTCCTGGCTCTGCAATGAATAGTTTGACTTTGGGCAGGTTAACCTCTGAACCTCATTTCTCGTCTCTAATAGTTAGTACGGATACTAACTACTTCACAGGATTATCATGAGAATTAAATGAGATGGGGTAAAATGGCTAGCATATATTAATGCTTCAGAGGCAACAGGAGTCTCGTTTGTTAAAATCCATGGTAATAGAGTGTTTAGTGATGATTACAAACCCGTTGTTTCTTTGTTACTTAAATAAGTATTTGAACCCCTTACTTTGTGCAGAGTACTGTGCTAGAGTGAAAAAGTGATGCTCCTTAGGATTGGAATTGTGTGTCTTAAAAGCAGCCGCCTGCCCCTTGTTGTACCCTGGGGTACAAGGTGAAGCAGCTGAGATGACAACTCAGGAAAGAAAGAACTTTCAGAGCGAATAGAATAATCTGCTACTCACTAGTTCAAGGCCTACATTTACAGAAGGGACACTTCCAGTGAGATACAGAGGCATGCCTGGAATGGCTGCTCAAAAGAACATCAAGTAGCCCTAAGTCACACTGCCTCTCAAAGTCTCAAGCAGCCTGTAAAAATCTCTCCAGAGAAGCTGAATCCACACACCTGTTGGTGAATCTTTCACTCCTGAGTCATTAAGTTCTAAAAATAATGCAATGGGTAGAAGGAAGTGAAATGATTTTTTTTTGGTACATTATACTCTGTCACATTAAATATAGTTGTTAATGTGTTTCCCTGTTTCTTTTTTAGAAAACTGAAGGTAGCAAAAACACCTTCCCATTTTATCATTATTTTTATGGAGAAGAGTGATTTAAAGCTGCTTTTCTGGAAAAATAACCTACTGTTAGTAAAAGGGTGACAAAAACATGTCAGGAGTGAAGACTTATAGATCACAACAGGGAAACAAATGAAATGTTTGTCTTTACAAGGACACTGACATTTCTCAAAAGTACTGAGACTCTTAGAAGCAGTGGAAATTTATAAGTTTTTATCTTAACCAAGAAATAAATGGGTAACAAATTCTCTAAAATAATATATTGGTGATCTGTGCATTTTAGCTGGGGTGAGGAGGAAAGGATACTCTGTCCCCATGCCTCACCTTTCAGAGCTCTGGAAATAACTGCATCTGTGGGGACAGACTCTAGTCCTCCAGGTGAGCAGTGACTTCTGTTGAAAGCTAAAATGGAAGTTCTTTTCCTCCCACTTTGTGTGATACTAGGCAAGTCACTTTTCTTAGTGGGCCTTAGTCTCCTCGTCTCTAAAATTGGGAATGGACTACCTTATCTGAAGGTCTCTTTCCACCCTGAAGTTCCACGATGCAAAAATAATGGATGAGAAGACATTTTGGTGACGTATAAAGCAAAGCACAGATGTTCAGCCCTCCGTTAACAAGTGGCACCTAGCCTGCCTGTCCATGGATCACTGCAGGAGGCTGCATGCTAAAACCTGGCTGTTTCTT